GCAATTACCAAAACTCGGCTCGGCTCGGCTCGTCTCATACACAAGCCGCAAAAAATTTTTTCTCCCTACGGCAATTAGGGTTACCCCACGGCAGATGGCGGCAGTTTGAATGTGGCAGGTGAGAGCCGGGGGCGGTATATGGTGGGTTACGTTCGAGGCAGGGGAGGTGGATAGGACAAGTGGATGTAAGAACTAAATGGCGTAGATCCTTTGCTGATTGACTAAGTAGCATGCATAATAAATAGCAACACGCACCAGACTAGCGAGTGCGATCATGCGTTTTGTGCAATTCAGCCCATCGAACGATTGCCAATGATTTTCACTGCTTTGTACTTTATTCTATGCAAAAATAGTTCAGACATTGGAAAATAGTTGAAAATTTCATGCACCAGCGCATGAAAGCTGGATTCGAAACCTTGAAAAGTGAATATCTTTCCGTGATTCCCGAGTTAATAGTTTACCCGCCAAAATTTTCACGAGGCCTTATGTGATACTCAAGAGCGCGGGAACGCTGAACTTGAATGGGCAAGGTTGAGCGTAGGCAGGGGGTTATTACCCCAAAATTTCATCTTCCTAGACCCCGTGATTCCCGAAATAATAATTTACCCGTGAAAAATTTCACTAGCCCGTAGGTGGTACCCGACGGCGCGGGAACGCTGAATTCGAATGGGCAAGGTTGAGCGTGGGCAGAAGGTCATTACCCTAAAATTTCAGCATCTTAGACTCCGTGGTTCCCGAGATATTAATTTACCCGTAAAAAAACTTTCACGAGGCCATACGTGCTACTCGCGGGTACGGGTAGGCTGAATTTAAATTTGCCGCGTCAACCGCTGGCGCGGAACACTATACCAAAATTTCAGCCGCCTAGCTTCTGTGGTTCCCGGCTAGAAAGTGCGGGACAAAATGTGGGACACACACACACACAAACAAACACACACAGACAACCCCGTGACAATATGCGTTTTGTACTGCTGTTACACAGCACAAAGCGCATAAAAATGAGGGGGGAGAGGAGCGGTGAAGAAAGGAAAGGATGATTAGGTGCTTAGGTGAAGCTGTTCCAGAAAAACCCGTTATTAGATTTC